ACACCTATGTTTACTTCAGGTCTAATCTACATTATAGTTACCTTTGTCCTTAGTTTTTTTTTTTACAAGGTTAGATACTTTGCTTTTCACAGTTAACTGTTTTTTGTATATAATATTTTTGATATATCAGAGGACAACTTAACCTCAAATAGAGATGGAGAATGACTCTGTGTCTTATAAATGTAACGGTGCTTCTGTTTTTGAGCCAGCTAGCATTACATTAGCTTATTGGCCAATCTAGATATTTAAAGTGAAATCTCTTTCACAACACCAAAACTGATTTGGATTGTGAATTGACTAATTTAAGGATGAAAAATGAAATGATAAAAGAAGTGCACTATGTAAAATAGATCTGTGTCACACTACATTTTGCAAGTACAGAGCACATCCTTGCAGAGATGCATTTGAACTGTAAACACATGTAGAGGTTTTCTCCCAACACTACACCACATGCATTCTGTATGTTATTAGCAAATTGATCAGCAACCACATCCAATATAAGAGTCCCATCTTTGTATTCCTATTAAAGCATAGAATAAAGTGCAGCAATAAAGCCCAGTGCATGCCTCCTTGGGAGAATTGCTTGTCAACAACAGGAGGGAGAAATAAGGCATCGTCTGACAACAAGCCATCTTTGAAACGCCTCCAAGAGGGAAATGGAATCCATTAGAGACATACAGAAAATGTGTGTTCACTGAGTGGGAGGTGGGGTGGGGTGGGGGGGCAAATCACACAGACACACAGATTGTAATTGTTTATCCCTGGGAGAACCTTCAATGTCTGTCTGCGGGTGGCTAAGTAAGTTCACCGGTACTATTGGACAGGGAGTGCCCAGCAGACCCTAGGCTCGAAAAACATTAGGATGAATCAATTAGGCTGCCATTAGCCAATAAAGTGGCCCTCGCTGAGTCGTGTAATTATGACCCACAGCAAAGCCAATTTTATGGAAGCACATTATCCCTTTCTTTTCTTTATTAATTGTATTTGTTTGAGATAATCCCTCCATGGTTTTAATTATGTGCTTGCGTTTCATGGTGGAATAAATAAATCATAATTTCCTTCCATCACCGCAGGATTGTACGGAAACACCACAACACGAGACATTGTTACCGTTATGTCGGTCTTGGGATCAAACTGATTAGTCCCTTAAATTAAAAATGATGCATCATTTTACACATAAGCCACATTAACCCCACTCCCCATCAGATGGTGTGATAGGAGGCGGCAGGAAGAGCTGATATTATAGGCAGCAGCTACTTAGCTTGTTCTGAGCTCAGAGGACACTGTGTAAGTGTGACAATGTGCTGTCAATGAGGGATGACAGTACACAGCCAACATGGCGTAATGCATTGTTCCTTCCTGGGTCCCTCCTGACAGATGCTCTCTAAGACAGCTGGATCAGCAGCCAGAGTGGAGCAGGGATCTGGGCTGCATGTGAGCGAGGAGAGGAAGTGAAATGCTGCTGATTAGCGACGGTGTACACATGTCAACAAGCAAGGCCCGGGGATCACGCCGGAGTTTGGTTTAATTGCCAGTTTACCTATTTATTTTGAGCACAATCCCCCGCTTAGATACGCAGCGCTGTTGAATGCAGTCGTTTGTTTTCCATTACCTTTTTTTATTCCATCTTTCAAAAAGAAAAAAGTCAGTCTACTTGTTTTTTTTTCTGTTTGCCTTCTGAGAGATCTCCTAAGAAATGACCTTCTTTTGCAGCAGCCGCTGTTATAAGACTGATGTAGTAGAGGTGCTTCCAGCCAAGTAAAATAAACACTTCATGAATGTTAAGTTGGAACTTGGCAGACGTGAATCGAAACCTTTTATTTTTCTCTCTTCTGGACACAGGGAATTTTTGTGTTCCATTTTCATTTGACAGTCTAGACGTTTTATGAGTCGGGGAAGAAATCTGGCCTTGGGTTTTTTCGGTAAAAACATCTGACATGAGCTTCCTCCTTCACATTTGTGTGCTGGTTCTACTTTGTGCCATTTTATTCGTGTACCTTTGTATTCAGGTTGCAGCTTTTGTGAATCTTTTAAATCTCGTTCCATCACCTGGAAACTTAATGCAGCTTCTTATTGTGCGCTTTGGTGGAAATTGCCAGTTTTCTTTCTTCCCCTTTACTGCTATCAGCTGTTTTCCTTCTGAAAATGACTTCCAGAAAGTGCAGCTCATTTTTTTCCTCCATGGGATATTGCGGTGTGCTCTCATTGTACACCCACTTTAGTCTGGTATTTATGAGGTGGTAACTATAGAGAAAAGCCACCTCTCCGTGCTGAGTGTTCGGGAGCCGGGGAGCAGCGGGGCCTCGGTGATGTACGCTAACTGAAGCAGACAGGCGGGTGTAGAGTTTCTGATGAAGCAGGTCTGATCGGGTCAGAGCGCGGCTGCATCGCGGTGAGGTGGCGGGTGTGAAGCCATCCGAGGTCCCCCCCCCCAAGCCTCGTCCATACACAGGCTTGGAGAGTAACAGATTACATGTACTGTAAACAGATTACGTAATCAGGATACACAAATAAGTAATCAGACTACCGTTTCCTTAAAAAGAATAGAGATTACTTGCAGGATTACAGGGTTACAATTCATTTTTGAAATAAAGATGGATATATTGACATCATGTGTAGTTCTTTATTTTAAATACATTTCTGTTTTTCATGCAGTAGGTGGACACCTGATGTATTAAACAAAAATACAGTCTATACTTTTGATTACTGGATTAAGTTTAAACAGCATTTGTGAACTATTACTGTTACTACATGTTTGATATGAAATATCTTAGTTTCTTCTTTTCTAAGGTTACATTGTTACACACACTTAAGTAAAAATCATCTTATTGTTATTTATTTTCTCTTGTTTTTATTTATTTTCTCTTGCATTTGATATTGAGGTAATCCAAAAGTAACGGAAAGTAATCAGGTGACATACGTTTTATTCTTGACGGATTAGTTTACTGATTTTTTGTATTATTGTAACGGATTACATTTTTTAAGTAATCCTCCCAACCCTGTCCATACATTACAGAGTGATGAAGGAGTCTGGGTAATGAGACAGGATGTTTGTACAGTCCTGCCAGACCCCCTCCCTTATCAACTCTCCTCCACCTCCCACACTCAATCTACCCCCCGCTGAGCCTGTGGCCTGAACCTCTGACCTCCTCCACTCGCCAACAGTTGCCATATTTGCATTTCCAGTCCACTTAAAAAAAAACAGGGGTGGGGGGGGGTGACTGAGGGAGCCCCCTCCTCTTGCGATTGCTAGTACAGCCGGCCTCATTCTCATCCCAGTGACCCCCTGCCCAGGCCTACCACCCCGGACAGCAGTCTGGGGTTAATGCACCAAGCACTCCCATTGTCTCTGAATTAATGAAGTGCTCCTGCCTGTCCCTTCTCATTCAATGACAACGAGGCGGATGACAAATGGTAGCGTTTTAAATGGCTATCGACACACGCCGGGCGTCAAGTCTCAGATCCACAGCTCATGTCGGCGGAGGTAACGATAATGCGGGCCGCAGTCGATCCACTTTCAGCGTCCACTCTGGGATTAATTTGGATGTAGCAGCAGCACGCTCCACACAGGAGAAGGTGCTTTATATTGAAATGGATGGTTCTCAGATGGAGGAGGAAGAGTCAGAGCACCTCAGAAAATGGAAGGTGGAACTCAAGTATTTTAAAGAATGGCAAGGGAGACCTCTAGTGGAAGGCAGTGGTACTCATACAGGCTATTGTTGGAGAACATCCACATTTGCTCTGAGCTGTAAGGATAAGGAGCATTTAATTTCAAAGGGTCACATCAGGTCACTTAATACATTTAATTTAAAAAATAGTTGCAGCCCTACTGTATTTCTGGAGGTAAATTAATATCTAATTCCCTGTATTATCAGAATATTGTCATTTTGCAAGGGATCAGTTTTAGTTTCTCAGTGTTAGGGCCAGTCTTTCGTTATGTATAAAGGGCCAAATATTGTCACCTAATCGGGACCGCTGTAGACTACAATTCCCATGACGCCAGCCCTTCAAGAGACACAGAGATGGGCAACCTATGTTGAAAACGCTGTCGAGACACAGTTTTTAACCGTTTTTAACCGTTATTATATTAACCTTAACCTACACTAAGAAAAAGGAAGAAAGATGATCTAAGTTGTTTATTATTTTATTTGAGTGTTTCCTCTTAATAATTCCTTACATTTATTATAGCGCTTTTACAAATACACATTACACATATCATACATGTAACGGTCATGTACTGTGGACAATACCCACAGGAGCAAATTCAGGTGAAGTGTCTTGCCCAAGGACACAACTGCTTTACAGACGCAGCGGCGGCGGGTTTCGAACTGGTGTTCCCCAACTTCACTTTGATCTGATGATCAACGCACAGCCCACTGCGCCAGTCCGCCCATCTTCACACCTCGAAGCCATCAAGGCGCTTTACAAGTACACATTACACACATGGTCATGTAACGGTCATGTACTGTGGACAGTACCCACAGGAGCAAATTCGGGTGAAGTGTCTTGCCCAAAGACACAACGGCCTGACGCAGTGGCGGGTTTCGAACTAGAGTTCCCCAACACCACCCTTGATCTGATGATCAACGCACAGCCCACTGCGCCACTCCGTCCCCCTCTTGTGGTTTTGACTATTGTAAACGCCTATTTTCTTTGTTGAATCTGTGTGGAACGTTTTTTATTGTATTTTGATCAAACGTGAGTAGCACAGCATCAACACATCATCAGAAGATGTAAAACTAATATATTGAAAGATAACGGGTTAGAGCTGTCTGTTTAAGGCGTCAAAATGGCGTGATGGAAACAAAGGAAGGAAGTGTTGCTCCAGTATTTAGCCACATCCTTCCTGTACACACACTACACTCTGCCTGTGTGTCTTTCTTCGCTCCACCTTACTGCATCACTCTGAGCTACTGGATCTGACAGCTTGTTACGGAGCGTCTCTCCGCTGTAGGTGTGACCTTTCATGGCTGACCTCTGACCTTCTCCTGTCGTTGCAGTGCTGAGTATCCGAGGCGCCCAGGAGGAGGAGCCCCCGGACCCGCAGCTCATGCGCCTGGACAACATGCTCCTGGCGGAGGGCGTGGCCGGGCCGGAAAAAGGGGGGGGCTCGGCGGCGGCGGCGGCTGCAGCGGCGGCCTCAGGAGGGGGGTCGGGGCCCGAAAACTCAACTGAGCACTCCGACTACAGAACCAAGCTCACCCAGATCAGACAGATCTACCACACCGAGCTGGAGAAGTACGAACAGGTGAGGCACACATACACACACACCACACACACACACACACACACACACACACACACACACACACACACACACACACACACACACACACACACACACACACACACACACTTCATCTCATAGAGCAGTGTGTGATGGGCTCCGGGCTCATGACTGTTTTAATAATCTTTTAAAGGGCAGAGATAAAGAGAACAGGGTCATTTTTCCGCTTCAGCTTCTTAAATATAAAGTACTAGAGAAAGCTGAAACACTGTTCACTGTTTGTTTCACATTTGAGACTTTACTCAGCAATTTACTCAATTAGTTTAAATGTTATGAATTTGTACCTCTGGATTTCTCCCAAACTCATAAGAAATAGCATTAGATAATGCCTCATTTGCATATTCAAACTAAACTTGTACATTTTAACTGGGTAATATTTATGGTGATGTCTACAGTTTTTACCTGAAGATTCTCTGCTTAAAACATTTAGACAATAAAATGTCTAAACGTCCCCTTTATCACATTTTATTCACTGCATCACGTTAGGGTTCTTGGTTTTTATGGATTTAGATTCTCTCTTTGGAGTAAAAGCTGTTTATATACAGCTGAAATAATCACGCTGAAGAAAAATAATCAGCAAGTACTTTGATCATTATTTAGTAAAAACACTGAAGGTTTGTTCATTTCAGCTACTCAGTTGTAAGGATCTGCTGCTATTCTTTGTCTTATTTTAGAAGGTTAAATTTGACTTAATTGTTATGGAAATTATTACAACTTTCACCGACATGAAAATGTTTTCCAATACTTTTCTACACCAACTGGTACTGAACAAAGAGGTGCAATCTTAACACAAAACAGACAAACCCAGGTAACGTCTGTGTTTGCGTTTATTTCACAGACTACACGGTTTCTATCTGTTGAGCCGGTTCATCTTGTTCTCTTTAACACAGACTTCAAATCTTCATTGAAGCAAGATTAGCCAGTTTAAGAGCTCTCTTGCTGCTGTCACATTTTACTCACTGTGGCCTCGTTTCCACTGCAATATAAAGTCCATCTCTATGGAAACGGCATATCATAGCGAGAAGTAGAGAGACGTCAAAAAGCTCTTTTGTTGAGGATAACAGATTAATACTGGCATCCATCATACAAACATTTGAAAAAGGTGAATTTCTTTGATTTAATTTATCCTACAAAATTGGAAGTGTTACTAATATTAAATAAAAAGGATTCCAAATGCTCTACATATTGAATTATTACGTGTTTTACAAACTTTCCTCAGCAGAATCATTCCCGGCTTCTGATGAGTGCAGAACTTAATATTTCAACAGAATCTTGTTAAAAACACTGTTTATTGCTGTAAATTCTTAAAGTTCGACATATTAAATAAAGTAATTTCGATAAAAAGGCACTATTTTCAGCTTATATTTGGTTACTGTTTCTGGCAGCAGCCTTTGTCACATGTTGAGTTCAAGGAGCGCCCGGATGTACAAATCTGACCATATTCGACAGTTTTACAGTCTTTCCTTGATCAATGCCGAATCATTTTTCGGTAAGACTTCACTTTAGATGGTTTTCAGCGCAGAATAGTCCAGCACATGCAGTATGTCGTGTGTCTCTGTGTGTATTCCTCGTATAGTCTCGAAAAAGTGGGGATGATTTCCTCTCATTCTTGATACCCGATGTATTCGTGACAATAGCATGGCTCTCAGATGAATGTGCTGAAGACAGATGAACACGCAGATAGACAGACACAGACAAAGCCTGACACGACTAAACCCAGAGAGAGATCGACGGGAGGAGAGGAAGTAAAGAAGAGGAGACAGTAGGAGACGCAGAGCCGGAGTGTAATATGGTGGCAGATTCACGCCTGGTGTCACACGGGGGATGAATGAAACGTCGTGGCGTGTTCGTCTCTCAGGGCGGCGAGGCTGTGAAAGTGTGTGTCTGAGAAGGGAACAGCTGTCATTGGTTCCTCTCAACACACTGCCATCACCACTTGTGTTAAATATGAATTGTATCAGCGCTTATATTCCCCCATGGCTATGTGGAAAAGCTTGCCCCAGAACTACAATAAGCAAAGAGCTGGTTTTTTAGATGCATTTTATTGGTGACTTTTAAATACTGTGTGACATTGTGTGTGTGGTGAGGTGAGGTTTCTGTGATGGTGAACTTCATATTAAATGTACACAGTAAATTAAAGTAGAACTTCACCCTCATCCCAATTACTCACCCTGTGTGACTTTGAATTCTTGAGGAATGTATTGATGAATTAAAGAGGCTCTATTATGTTTTGGTTTTGGTGTGTTCTATAGGTTTTAGGGTTAGGGTTAGGGTTATGGGTTAGGGTTACAGGGTTAGGGTCACAGGGTTAGGGGTTAGGGTTAGGGTTATGGGTTAGGGTTACAGGGTTAGGGTCACAGGGTTAGGGGTTAGGGTTAGGGTTACAGGGTTAGGGTTAGGGGTTAGGGTTAGGGGTTATGTAAATGGTCTGCAAAGGCTGAAATCCCTGTGATCCCTCCAGAGGGAGTTTCTCTCCCACACATCCCCTCCCCCCCCCTGCCTGAAACACCCGCATTGAACTCCTTTGTTTACTTCCTGAACATAGTGACATCACTATGTAACACCCACGCTTCTGGCTAGTGCTCCAACACAGAGGACTCGTTAGGCTAAGAAATGGGACATGTCTTGGCGGTTGACCATTCTCAACAGAGCCGGCCAGCTAACCAATCAGAGCAGACTGGGCTCTGGTTTCAGACAGAGGGTGAAAAGAGGTGCTGCAGAACATTAAAGCATGGAGACATGTCCCAGTAGAGGCAGAACATACTAATATGAACCTGGGAATGAGCTTAATAGGGCCCCCCTAAGGTATGAACAAAACATATTACTGCTTTTATAAACATGTAATCATAATGGTTAAGTGAAATTGCATGTGTTTGTAAAATAGTGCGCATACCATTCAATAAAAGAGACTTTGCTCATATTGCAAAAGTTACGGTTAATTTAAACAGATCATTTGAGACTGTTTGCTGACTTTAAACACCCTCCCATTTACTTCCATATTTTATGAATGTTCTCATTCTTTTTGATTCCTCATTAACCTACAAGGTATGCAAGAAAAAAATACTTTCTTTAAGAATACAAGGTAACTAGATGTGAGTAATTGATATTCAAATGGTCATTTCAGGGATGATTTATTATTTATTTTTTTGTTTTATTGACCTGAGTGTTTTTATATGTATTTTTTGATTCATTCCTGCATGTGCTCCCTCCTCTCCAGGCCTGTAACGAGTTCACCACCCACGTGATGAACCTGTTGCGGGAGCAGTCGCGCACGCGGCCGATTTCGCCCAAAGAGATCGAGCGCATGGTGAACATCATCCATCGCAAGTTCAGCTCCATCCAGATGCAGCTGAAGCAGAGCACCTGCGAGGCCGTCATGATCCTGCGCTCACGCTTCCTCGACGCCAGGTGTGTGTCTTTCTGCATTTTCATACACACCACGCAAGTGCTGCAAATAACCTCCCAATTGAACAACATGGCAACTCATCATGTGCGCCTCATATCCATATGAAAGGCTGACGTAGGAGGCCTATCATGCCACAAACATGCTGTAACACATGCTGTTTGCTGCTCACCGCAGACATTTGGACCAGCATCCCCAGCAACGCCGGCCAATAAGAGTTCCCGGCGTGCTCCACAGCGCTAACTGTTTCCCTTTTTTAATGTAATCGCTTGTTCCTTTTGATGCGTGTTTTGGATTTGCATACATTTCTCCGAGGATAAATGTCACTCAAAGTCTGGAGTCGGAGGCACAACATTTAAATGAGGCATGCGCTTCCTTACAAAGCTTCCTATCTATTCTCTTGCAAATGATGGTGGTGTTGCGGCAGGGTGGGGGGGGGGCTTTCACTGGCTGAGAGGCACTGCCATGCTCGGCGCCGCTGATTAATCTACTGGCTGCTGGAGCTCATGCTGGGAACATTTACATATTCTCAAGCAGGCTTTGGAGTGCGGGACAGATATGTGAGCAGAAATCTCCTCAGCGGTGGGTTCAGGCTCAGAGAGTGTTCAGGGTTCCCCGGCAGCTTAACTTAAGCCCTCTTTAGATGTGGCACACGCAGACGTGACCTGATAGGTGCAGCAGATAGAGGGTCAGTCAACTCATGGGCATCAGCATGTGATATCTGTCTGCTCTACGGTGTGTGGAGAGTGGGGGGGCTTCTGACTGTTTTTTTAATATTCGATATATTCAGCCTTGTTAGGATTTTTCTAAATGTTATTACATTTTCACTTAATCCTAAAAACATGTAATCAAACCCCATATTATTATATTTCGACCAATAATGTAAACAAAGAATGTCCTGACTGATATTGTAATTACATTTTTGCCAAAAATGTATTATTGTTCAGGGATATTTTAACTGATGATGTAATCATTTTAATGGACATTTTATACAATTTTAAAAGCATAGCATTTACATTTACATGTTCAATACTAATAATATATACATTAAGCATTTTGTATATTTGCACTAAATGTAATATTTGTATTTCAATTTAGAAATATGTTTACTAATTTTCAAGCCAATGTTACATTATCACTAAATATGATATTACGATACCAGTCAGGACTAATTGTTACGATATGAGTGAAATTATTGCATGACGAAGTTTTATTACATTTGATCACATGTCAGATGGTAAAAGCTTTTTTTCTATGCACGCTGGCATGCTAGAAGGTGTCATTTGGATTATCTTTGTGTCTATAATAAGACAAAGTTATTCTGTATGAAGTTGAAAACAGTAGTTGAAAACAGGCTGGCCCAGAAGTCGGCTGATCATGTCCTGTGTGAAACTACGTCTGTAATTCAGGAGACAATAGGATTCCCTGAACACGTAGTTGTATTGCAATGTCATATTTAAGAGAAAGTGTTATTCCAAACACAGCAGGCAGTTGTGTTCAGAACCAAACACTTCAGCAGCAAACAGGTGACACACAGGCACACACACTAGCTGGCAGACATAGCGGAGGAGTGGATGTGCTCTCATTATGTTTTTTGTTTATTCTGTGGATTGTTTGGAGCATGTGATGCAAAACTAACTTTATTCTATCTTAACTTATAAATCAAGGGACCAGAAACACACTTTATTTTGGTCTGAAAATGTGTAAATAAACTGGACAAACATGTTTTACAAAACAACTTGTCAATGTTGTGTTTACAGCGTGCTGCCCCCAAGTGGTCAAAAAGGTTGCAAACAAAAGTAATGTTGATCCAGCAAGAGCACGGAGAAACAAAGGGAGGACATGAAAACATCTTGAGCACTAGGCTGGAGTTAGTCAAACCTAAAGGACCTGTCCTGCAAAAACACTATTATTACTTCTGGTTCATGTTGTTGCTCATAGGGTTCAGGTCAAAGAGAAGGTGCTTTAAAACCCTGACTGGTTTAAATGTATATTATTCATTATTTGAAACCTTAACTGACTAAAAGGAAATACAAATGTTTGTTCTTTTAAATAATAAAAAAATGTATCAAATCATTAAAAGATGTTGCTTTTCAACCCCTAAGTGGTTTAAAGGATAAAAGGGAAAAAACACAATGTTGTTTGAATGCTAAATCATTTAAAAGAATAAATACATTTTAAAGATGAAACATAATCAAAATATAATAAATTGTAAAAAAAATGCTTTGTGTTTTTAAAACCCAAATAGTTCAAAAGAAGAGTAGGATGGATAGAAATAAATCTATCTAAAGAGACGGTGTGATTTGCATCAATGCACTCCTCTATCCTCTCTAAGCTGTTGGAATAAACGTGAACTGGTTTCCTGTTTGAACTTCTGATGCTTGTTCTTGCAGACGGAAAAGACGAAACTTCAACAAGCAGGCGACAGAGATCCTGAACGAGTATTTCTACTCACACCTCAGTAACCCGTACCCCAGCGAGGAGGCTAAAGAGGAGCTGGGAAAGAAGTGCGCCATCACAGTGGCCCAGGTACAGAACAGTGCACCCCCCCCCCCTCACACCTGTAGTAAAACCACTGAGACAGTTTCAACAGTGAAGCAGCTGTAAGCGTCTTGGCAAGTAACCTAAGAATACATTCTGACTGTCATGAGAACAGACAGCTGCTCTGATCTGTCAGCAGCACCTTTCATTGAGACAACAAAGGGCTCCAGTAGAAATATGCCGTGTCATGAGTTTGTTGTCGTGTAATTCAAACCAGACAAAGCTATTTTTGACCACTTTGTGTTTGTATTGAAGTAACACAAGCTAAAACAACACTGCTGTCATAGCCATTATCTAATCATATAGTTTTCCTATAATACACAAAATGTTCAAAAGTGAGCTGTTACCTAATCACTTTTTTTGATAGTTGAAATGAAAAGTAACTCTTCTTTGATTCATATGATTATAAATGTCAATGTTTTTTGGCTAGTCATCAAAACATTTGACAAAAATATGAATTGATTAATAAAATAAGATCAACATCAGTTGTGAAAACATCAGCCTACAGTTTAAGGAAGTAATTACCATTAGCTCATTAGCTTCTGCAAAATTAGCGCTGCAGTCATTTGAGGCATGTGCAGTAAAGGTTTACTATAAATCTTATAATAACTTACTGTGTATCTAAAGACACTTAAGATGTTTGTTCCAATACTGCTGACAAGCCATGAGAGTTCAATATTTAAGCACCTTGCTTTTTTTCACCTTTGCTTTCTAGCGCTCAAGTTGTTTCAATCCTGTGAGAATTGATAATAAGCGAAGCCACGCCAAGGTAAACAGCAGTTTGTGTTTTGAATCCATCATTTGGGAATGGATTGTTTTCTCAATTGGTTTCATTAATTTATACCAAATGATTGGAGGATGCATCTGGGCCTGATTGTGGAAGCTGCTCGGCGGCGGGAATGATTTGTCGAGTTTCCGTTTCTCGGCCATAATAAAGGAGAATGTTTACCTAGTCTGTGTATTGGAAACTTTGCAGGATTGATTTGGTTTTCATTTTAATGTTGTTTATCATTAGCGCTGGGATTACCCCCCTGGCTTCATCTGGGAGTCCATTAGCAGTAATGGGCGTTAGCGGATGTTGACTGATTGGTGCTTGCGTGAGTTCTGATGATAGCTGCAGTCATGGTGACATAATGAGACTGTTATTGGCAATCATTCCATTCTGGCACTAATGCAGATTCACAGCACCAGTCTATGTAGCCCCTACCTCTCTGCAGTGTAACACATGCCATTAAGGCCATGGAAGCTAAAGACCACCATTATATTTCTGGATTCTTGCCCTCAGATGTGGAGAGGCTGTGTTTGTTCTGATTTGTGAGCATTAAACTACATTTTTTTGTTTGTCTGCTCAGGTTTCCAACTGGTTTGGGAATAAACGAATCAGATACAAGAAAAACATTGGTAAGTTCCAAGAAGAAGCCAACATGTACGCTGCGAGAACTGCCGTGAATGCGACTAATGCATCCTCACATGGAAGCCAAGCAAATTCACCCTCAACTCCAAACTCTGCAGGTGAGACAGGAAGTCCCTGGCTCTGATCAGCTACTAGACATGTACCTCCTCTCTGTGCATTACTAATCAAAACATTTCAGTTTATTAGTGTGAGGCCATTTCAATGCTTGTGCTGGTGATTTGTAAGGAATGAAATATTATAGACTAACAAAACAGGCAGTTCATTTACAACAGACGTGCCTATCACCTAGTAAAGCACCATTGTTATATTGATAGGTTCATATTAACAAAAACAACCACCCCATTAGAGCAAAACTGTGTCAGGGATTAGCCAACCTGAGCCCCATGCCAAGTCTCCCTATGCTTATACTGTCCTGTTGTCTTCATCTCAATTAATACTATTCTTCATTTATGACTATTTAACTCTGTATCCATCATGTTCTACTGTACTGACATTCAAAGGATAGGTTTGGTAATATTCATTACTTCTTTCCTAATGTTGACAAATCTCATAAAAAGACTAAACTAACAATTCATTGACTCTACTAACAAGTACTTCCTGATATATCTTCTTCCTTTGTGCTTTGGAGCTACCTTTTTCTAAAAACTAGTGAAAACACATCGATGAGCCTCATTAACATGAACACACATGGTATTGTTTTGGGGTCAATATCACATAAATCCCATGTGAAACTAGTGCTGCAACAATGATGCACTTGTGGTTCCCTCGTATTGAAGTCTAAAAAAAGGTCTGATGTTAACACAAGCTCAAAAGATTCTCAAGTTTTATGACATCAAATATTTCAGGAAATACCCCACTCTTAATTGTGGAATCTTTAATGAGTCTTAATAGAGGTGCTTACTAGCAAGTGGCTAAATGAGACTAAGTACGTTGTTGGAAAAATTCAACGTCATCATGCCTTTTTTAGCTTGGCACTGAGAACCACTGATAGGGCAGCAGAGTGAGAAACTGCTTTGCCTTTTTATGGAGTTGTTGACAATGAATAAAATATTACTAGGTGTATCTTTTTCAAATATGGTCCATTATTTTGAGACATTTGTATATTTGACATCATATCAGTGCTGTGTCTCAATTTGGATACTTCTGCTAGTACTAAACTGTCTACACTGTACTTGCATAGTCCGTGCATTTCTACAGGGCATTGGTTTAAAAAGAATACGGCTGATGTGCACTTAATGACCATCTCCACTGTTAGCCAGCTAGCTAGCTAGCATTTGTGTTAATTAATATTGACTGCTGAATTTATATTTTTATTATATTGTATTTATACTAGTTGCTTCATCCGACAACAGTAAAATGGTACCTAATTAAAAAAAAATAGCACACGTACCTTACAATTGTATAGAAGTGTTCGACAGTGGTTGAGGGTGAGAAATGTCAATAGCGATATAATCCCACCATCTTGGTAATCAAAGTGCATTGTATTTCGCCATATTTCTCAGTATGAACACACTCAAAATAGCAAGTGAAAGTACAGAAGAATGCAAATTGAGACACAGCACGCAACAGGAAGCATGTTTAGCCAAGCATAAAACGCATATGGATAGCCGATGCAAACACCTAGCTTAGTTTAGCAAAAATGTGGTGGGGGGAAATACTCATAGACCACTCTATATCAGATTTGTTTTTACATGATTTGCCCTGTTGTACCAAGTAGTCACCAAGTACATTGAAAAGCGCCACAAGTTTTGCTGGAAATGCATTTGCATTTAAGTCTAAATTTGACTCTTATTTCCCTATAGTGTTTTGTGCTATGCTAGACTAAACACATCCTGCCTACTTCTGTAACTGACCTCGGGTTGGACAGAAATAAAGAACATTCGGAATGCTTTTTCAAGACTTCTCTTTTTTCCTAGTACCACTAATATACAAATAACTTGCTTGGCCATGCTTGGATGTAAAGACTTGACCGAAACGTGGGTGTGGGGTTACAGCTGTTTCTCTATTATCCATTAGTTTCCTGTATGGCTCCATTCCTCTCCGTGTGGCTGCTAGCTAACCTCTGCATGATGCTCCTTTGACTTGCTCCCCTTGCTTGCTCTGTCTCTCTGTGATGCGACTGCTCCGTCTCTCCTTTCAGGTTCTGCTGGCTCTTTTAACATGTCAAACTCCGGGGACTTGTTCATGAGCGTGCAGTCTCTCAATGGGGACTCGTACCAGGGGGCTCAGGTGGGAGCCAACGTGCAGTCACAGGTAGGGCTGTGAGCAGATTAGCAGATAAACAGGGGCAGGCCCACTTACCATCCCAGTAGAGAGTTTGACTGGTCATGCACAGGTGTAATTATTATTAATAATTCAACACATTTCAGCTGAAGTTTATTAACGGATTTGTCGATTTTGATAAACAATTTAGAGATTGTTAGGTTTTTTCAAGCGAAAAGAGTGCTACCACTCCTATAATCTCTGTTCTAGGATTTCATACTTTTCCTTTTTCATTTATCATTGTAACCTATAAATATCTTTGGGGATTTGGACTTTTGGTCAAACAAACCAAGAACTTTTTGATGGCCTTTTTTTGGCTTTTTAATTACTTTAAATTTGTTTTGATTATTTGAAGAAATATCTGCAGATTAATCAGAAATGACTCAACTCCCAAAACCACCTACATTTAAAAAAAGTATTTACTAAAAAATAATTATTCAAAATTGAATATTTCTAAGGTTATAAAGTCATATTTGCGTGAAACTAAACGTATATTTTTTTAACATGGTCCTAATCTGTTTTCATTTAGAGCCATCATTTAATGCTATGATTAACTGCTGGTTTTAATAATATGGAAAGTTAAGATGTCTGTCGTCCCCTCTGTAGAGTTTCTTCACAAAGGCAGAATACTTCTCCCTCACCATGGGAAGGGATTGTCATTTTAACAACAAAAAAGCCAACGTTTTTATCATAAAAGTATTTTTTAGTTTGGTTGGACCTTGTCTTCTCCAGAGATGTCCTTGCAGCAGTGTGCTCCGTCTCGTCTCCTCTCTGTTCTCTGGCGTTGGCTCTGACCTTGCTTTGTTTGTTGTTTCTGAATGTTTCAGGTGGATACCCTTCGCCATGTTATCAGTCAGACAGGCGGATACAGTGAAGGACTCACAGCCAACCAGATGTACAGTCCGCAGGGCATCAATGTAAGGATTCTTTTTTCTCCTTTCACTCCCTACCAATTATTTCAAAGCCATAGGGCTCAGAATGCCACTTAGCGGGACTTGTCTTTGCTCCACCGCCACCCTAGTTGATTGCTTGTGTATCGCGCCCGCCATGGGCAGCGCGCTGTCCGGCGTACGCATGCATGTGGCCGGACACACACATGTGGCTGGACACACACGCAGGGCCGCCGTCTGAGCCTGTCACGTCGCATCAGGTCTGGCGGAGCACCTGCAGCCACGTACAGTCAGCCGTGAGCGAGCGGCACCACCAGGTGACACCTCCTGCCCCGGCCTTCAGATCCCTCTGACCACCTGACCCGTGAGCAGCAGCCCCCGCGGCCAGAAGCTCCCACAAAGACAACACGGCTAAAAATAAAACCTCACGCCACTGGGAACAACTCCTCACACTGGAAAAGGATAACAAAATAATAAAAACAAGGCGTTTAGCTAAAAAACATCTGCCAATAGAACACGTTAAAATGTGCTTGGTAAGATTTCTTGAAATGATTTAGATAGATCTTGTAATTAGCTGGGAAAGCGTACTTTTATTTTTACCAGAATCTGGAAATGTTGTGTTACAAAATAAACCACAAATGCTCAAAGTTTTCTGATGTTAGTTTTCCAAAATCAAGTTATTTCATGAAACAAGATCACCCATCCTTTAAAAATACCACAGCAGCTAAAAAACTTGTGTCATGCTTGTTTCATCTGAGATACAACTCAAAATAAGATTTTTTAAGAGTATTTTTAACCTTATCAAGATACTTAAGATGCATTGTCTAAAAACAAGACCTTCTACCTCACTGCATTGTCACTTCTTAAGTTGTTGTGTCTTATATCAAGTGTAAAGATTCAAAGGCTTTATTTTCTAAGTCCCAGTCTCCTCCAACACGGCAACATAAATATATTTAAGACATAAAACCTTTTAAAATAACAGTAAAGTAGTAGATAAAATAGTACATGGTTATCTTGCAAAACCAATGTGCAAGTAATGCAGAGGAAGCAAACTATATACATTTAAAAAAAATCCAATAAGCTAAATGTTTCAGAGACATATTCTGACTAGAAATGAGTCAGATATACTTGGCAAGATTTCACATTTCTGCAGTGCATGTGCCATCAGGACGTGTTCCCTTCATGTTTGTGAAGAAGAGTTTGGGGGTAGAAGTGGGGGTTGTTATCAAGCGAGGGGGGGGGGGGGGGGGGATTTTGCTCGCTGGCGGCTGCAAACAGTAGGGAAATTCACAGCGACAAGCCGTGTCGTAAAGGGGAAAATCGATAAGACAGACACAAGGAGAGCAGACTGTGGACTTGGGACAGCAATCCAAGCGCATTGCTCAGATCATGCTGCTGCCACGCTAATGGCCCTGACAGCGAGCCCCTGCTCAGAGCGGGGGGACCGTCCTCCGCTCTGAGCAGGGGGACGGTCTCCGCTGGCTCCGTCGTGCCTCAGCGGCCATATGATAATCAGATGAAATGTCTCCCATATAAAAACATCTATGTGTATTCAAATGGGCAGCTGTGAGCCCGGAGAGGCCGCTAACGTATTCAGGCCCCGTCCCCCCCCAGTCCTCGGACCTCACTGATACGGTTCTCCTTGGACGCCTGCCTGCTCTACCACATCTTACACTGCCACAATATGCTGTGTTATTCACTTTTATACCCTGTACAGAAGCACGCAATGCATAATGTAAGAGCGGGGTATCTGTCTGCAGCCTGTTGGCCTGTGATTTATGTAGCCGAGCAGTACGTTAGGACTTCTGGCTTCTTCACTCTGCTCTTCACTGAGAGAGGGGCTCTGCAGTTTAGTTGAGTTCCTGCTGCTTTCTGTCAGAGTTGTTCATCCTGTATGCTGTACGTTACCTTTTATCTCAAGCTCTTTCCGGTTTGTTTTAGCTCCTAAATGTCATAGCAAAGAGATCCAAATTGATTATATTATGCACAGTGGCGTAACAAGGTTGTGATTGGCCCCGGTGCAAATATTGTTTTGGGCCCCCCCCATCGCCCCAAACATAAGCGCACGCTGATGCGCTCACACACGCACGGACATACACTCTCTCTTGTCCTTCTCCTTTGCTGCCGAACTTGCTGCTGCTAGCTACACTACAGTACAGGTTGATTAAATGGTTCGCTCGTCACACAAGGTATCACATGACATGAAAGGGAGCAAGGTCATTGGAAAGACAAATTACAAATTAATTTTGGTTGCTTGGTTACTTTGAAGACTGCGTGAACCGGTCAATGTCATTGGGGCCCCAAAAAAAAAAATTATATATATATATATATATATATATAAAGAAAAAATATATATATATATATTTTATTTATTTTTTTGCATGGGCCCCTGGCCGGCTCTGGGCTGCACCGTCGATAGTTACGCCACTGACTATGCAACTGATACTGTACATTTTAATAAAGTCATCTTGTGTCTCCACTAAGGAATATATCCAAAATATGCCAAGACATCAGCTTTAGAGGTCTCTTACAACCAGTGGTACTCAGATCTGGTAGTAATACTACAGTTTAGAAATACTTTGTTACAAGGGAAAATGATTAATAATATTAATAACAATAATAGTAATAACAATAATGATAATAGTAAAAATTTGAATAATAATGACAAATAATAATAATTTAATTAAAAGGTACATTCATAACGGCCCTTTTTAATATATTATGTATTGTATTGTTGGATTATTAAGTTCAAATGTTCATTTAGTATTGCATTATTGCATTATTGCATTGATATTGCAAATGGTAAATGTGTTGCTGACCTCTTTATTACACACACTGCATGTTATCTTAAATGTCATTTTTTCTTAAATATTTAAAGGGATAAATAATCAATGAAAAATTGAGTCTTTGTCCGATGAAATACATCATTATTTGTAGATAGTATTTTGTATTATTAGTCAAGTCAAGTAGAACTGAATTGCCTTAGTTATTGCCCTGCAGAGTAGAAATATCGAATGCAAAATAAAAAAGTGAGTTGAGACATTCTCCAGTGTGACCGCTCCACATTTGGTCCCCCACTCACTGTCTGCCATCTCAAATAACAGGCTGGGAAATGAAAGGCTGTCGCAGTCTTTCTGATGGCTTTAAACGTATTATTAATATCCTAAAATGTTCTTTAGCTGGCGTGTCTGTGCAGAGGACGGCTCTCCGCTGCTCTTATTGTATGTTAATTCCTGCTGTCAGCGTCACAATTAGTGCAAATGACGTTGATTGCAGGTGTTTTTGTTTCAGAGTTCTTTTCATACAATTCCCATATATTATTCATATTCAGAGTGAAAGTGACAGGCACTTATTTCAAGCCCAAATCTTTGTATTTTCTTCATTATGTGAATTTGAGTATGCAGCGCCTGATGGGGTACAGACTGTAATTCACTCGACTTCTGCTTGGTTGAAAACATGATTTAATATTTTTTTATGTCAGTCTGGCTTTAGGCTAACATACAGTATTTCCCAGCATTCCCTGCTGCACTCATACACTACCTCGCCCTCAGGACTTCCATGCATTGTACCTCACTGTGTTGCTGCATTGAGTAATGAATATGAAAGTAATACCCCCCCCTCCCCCCTTTTCCTCTCAGGCAAACGGCGGCTGGCAGGATGCTCCGACCCCCTCATCGGTGACTTCGCCCACAGAAGGACCCGGAAGCGTTCACTCTGACACCTCCAACTGATCCTCCACCCCCCCACCCCTCCGTCCTTAACTTCCTCCTCCAAATCTCCCAAAACTTAACCCCCCCCCCCCTCGGGGCTGGAGTACTGACTTTGGGGTCTGGGATGACATTAACGGACAAATATTTCACTTTTTTCCTATCTGGACCGCCGTGTAGGATGACTCATACCCCCCCTCACAGTTTGTACAGTTTCCACTCGATGTCCATGTTGCCTCTTTGTATTTCTGACAGTACACTCACACAGTAGGTGCACAGCTAGCAGAAAGCCCCCCCGTATTGTAAATTGAAACGCTCCCATACTACCTCGATTCGGAACATCAGAAAACAACAGGCTTCGGTTTTACTCAAGTGGTAGCACTTTCTATGACTTCCATGTCTATAATGCATTATTAATACACTTATAATGCAATGTAACCTGCTTGTAAGCACTCTTTAATATTCATAATGATTTATAACAGCAATATTAACACATTATAAACCATTTTATGAAGACTTTTAAGGTCAAGTATCATAATACTTCATATTTGCTGTTAATTCACTGACATGTATTTGCATAGATCATAGTGTATTGTTTTTCCCATTTGTTATAATGCATAATAATTGTTTTATAACGCATTATACTCTTTTTATAATGAATTACAATGTGATTATAGGTTACTGTGATAGTTATTGTTTGCTTTAAAAAAGTTTAAAATAATCTTACATGTTTCGTATGTTCTTTAGATTTAATGATGTTTTTGTTCACAGTATTGAAGGCAAACAATGTTAGACTAACTTATAATCACATTATAATGCATTATCATAAGATATCCATTTAAAAAGAAACTCTTATTACAATTATTTGAAGAAAAATACCTTATGATTCTTGCAAAAATAAAATGATAGTGATGTGATACACAACTTAATGAAATGTTGTTCATGTTAATATAGGATTACAAAGCAAATGTATGAGTGCTATTAACTATAATGAAAGAGTGCTGCAAGCAGATTCTATGTAGGTTTATAATGCATTACGGACATGCATAGAGAGTGTTATCACAATTATTTTTATAATTATTGAAATGTTACTGTACACACACCATGCCCTGTCTTTAATACTGTGTTCACACTTTTTGTTTCATCTATAGTGCCAAAGTTCAACCCTGGAGGTGAATTTTGATCATGTTTTTCAGGTCATCATTTGTGAAGTATTATAATGTCCTGTCATAATAATCAGGTAATATCCCAGGCTTGATTTGTATAGTTTGTATTCAGAACAATAATGAACAACAGATTCCATTTTTTTTGCAACAAATAGATTCTGTCATGCTTGTTGGCGGCATCCACAATATTTATAGAAGAATTGACCTGAAACACTAAATGAATGACAACGTTAGAAGCCATTTGGGCGTGTCAAAAAGTATCAAAGCACAAGAACATGTAATGATTAAGCTCAAAAGGTAAATGTGTCAAAGAAAACAATGTTAGAATGTAAGTATAGGAGTCATGTATGGAAGACAAAGAGTGCACGTTCATGATCAGACAGTCGGTGTGTATTAGTGAGGTCAATATAGCCAAATACTGCTGGTAACCAAATCCACAACAACAACTGTAATTCAGATTTGAAGGTTCCATGTTTGCATGACTTTTACTCTGAATTCACTTTTCATTCATGGAATTATATTTGTTTAAAAATCCTGATAGCAGGTTCGGAAATGTTGAGCAGATTTAAGATTAAATTAAATTATTCTTTACACCATAAGAAGAATGTATTTTCTTTGCAAAGAAAATTGTACTCAAAATGTCCCATTGCTCAGTATTTTTGCACAAATGTACCTCCATACACAGTCAGTTATTAACCCGTAACCCCTGTTTTCTAATTTTATTATTATTTGAATAACTTTATATTTTCCAAATACTTTTAGATTTTCTTTTTAAATGACACTAAAAACAACATATTGACACAAACCAATCCAAAATGTGAAACTAAATTTGTGATTTGTTTTCTTGTATGTACAGTATTGTATGTGGTCTAACATGTATACATGATTTCAATAGCATACTTTGATACCAAAAAAAGGCAGAATTTTTATCCTCTCCATTGGGATCAGCTTTATTGACATTTCTTTTTTTCTTCTTTTTCGTAGGATTTGTATTATCTACGGTACTAGTGAGCATCTCATAATGCTCTCTGTATTCAAAACCAAAAAAAGCAGTTGGAATACAGCAGTGTTTATATAAATTAAAACGGAAATACCCTGATGGCACACAAATCCAGATACTGTTTGGATATATTTTTATGTCTCCATTTTGTGAATAACAATTTTTTTTCATTTGATATTACTTTGCTTTGCTACAGGTCTTTTTTATGCTACCATTATATGTGAATTAGCCCAAGAATGCTCTATATACAGTATGTAGATATGCACCTTTACTCTTTTTTCTTTTGCATCTCTGAATTTGGACTGTAGTTATTTGAATGCAGCCTGGTGGATTGAAGGTGAAACCCTTTAATGGCCGCTGTCAGAAGGAAGGTGACGTGAAAAGTTAGCGTTACGTTAGCATCGGAGTCTTTGTTTTTAGCTCATCTGAACCCTTACAGAAAACTCAAATTAAATCCCGACATCACAAATACAGCGTGAGAACCACATGATTTTATTTTTTAAGTTGTCAGTGTGTTTGTATTTATTACACATGTATGAAATCATGGATGTTTCGGAGCTGCTGTGTGGACGTCAAACACGGCATGATGACACCAAACACTCATTTGGATCAACCCCCCCCACCTCTTCGAGTCATTGAAGTGAACTGACAGCAGCGGCCATGCAAGGAAAGCAAGGAGTGTTTTTGCAGCCCCCCCCCCCCCAGAAGAAAAAAAAAGGCTTAACTCTACTTTTCACATCGCCTGTCAAATATTATCGAAGCTTCATGTAATGACGCTTTTTAGTTTTTGAATATAAAAGGAAAAGAGACATGATGAAGAAAATTGAACAATTTGTAAAACATGAAATGTTTTATTTGTTGCATGTCTTTTTGTTCTTCAATAAAAAATAACGTACTGCAGTGTTTTTGAATGTTAACTTCTTTTTTATAAGGATTTCAGAGTGAAACCGTGGAGCCTTTTTCTTGACAGGTTTGAACTTTTAAGATCTCTGCGTATGTAAAAAGGGTATCAAATGGAAATTCTAAAACCTGTTTTTTCTGTGGAGAAAAATTTGAACGGTGTAGGTTTTATGGTCTCTTAATTTGTACTGGCAATGCGTATCCCAAATAAATGGTTTCTTTTGTTGCATACATTGCCGTTTGGTCATTTTTTATGTCAAATTGAATGTGCTCTGGGTTCTGATCCAACCTGGGGACCCTTTACGTACAGTATGTCACTCCCCATGTCTCCATAATAAATGCACTGCAGTGAAAAAACTGAAATGTTGACTTTAATTAAATGTATTATGTTTCACATAACTATAGGTTAGTTGAAAGCAATAATATTAAGTTGATCTTAATGTTTTTTTACTGAAACTTAATAATATTGCTTTCAACTAACCTGATAAAATTATGTGTAACCTGTTGACATAATACATTTAATTAAAGTCAACCTCAAAAAATGTTTAGTTGAGTGGCAAAAAACCAACGTGTTTTCAGGTTTTCCACACATGGACGGCTGAATTTCAAACTTGTGTGTGGTTTCTCCTGCAGACCTTTGTAACAGGGTCAGGGTCAGGAGTCACTGTAGGATACGAGTTTACACGTGGCAGCCCTGTCAGCCCAACACCTCTGGATAACATCGCACGTCTCACTTCCAACTACGCGGCTGCACGCAGGCGTTCATCAGCACTAACAGCGCCGGAGCACGGGGTGTGAAGGGGACATTTTCACAGTTTCTGGAAGTGAGTGAAAGCTGTGCGCTCCCGGCAGACACACACCCCCTCCCTCTACACACACCCTCCGAGGCATGGTTAATGTGAGTTCCCTGGAAGAGGCGGAATACACACTTATCTCTCTCCTGCAGATAAACCAGACAGGATTCTGCTCCTCCGATTCATGTGAAGAAAGAAGGAGGAAAGGGTTGAAACATTAAGTTGTGGATTAGGTTCCCAGGAGCATCTCAAATCAGAGAGTGTGACAGACACTGTGGGAGTGACACATGCAAACATGATCAGGTGTAATTACATGGAGGGGCCTTCTTGTTTCTATCAAAGAGCCACTCTTACACTGCATGAAAGGCAAGGAGTGCTGGACGTGTTTAATTTATTCATGCACTCCGCCGAACAGGAGCATGGCTCATTCAGTCATTACACGCTGAAAGGTGTAAATCCCATTCTGAGGGAAATCACTGTGTTCCTTTTGGATTTGTGATTCCTTTAACAAAGAGACTGGAAAGCATGAATCGTGAAAAATGGAATGTAGGATTTTAAGAACACTAAACGGATCATTATCCACTTTAAACAATGAAGGGAAACCGATGTATGACAATATGAAATCTTCTATCAATACCATATACAAGGTTGAAAAAAGGTAAAGAATAATAAATAAAAATACCATTTAAAAAACAAACGTTAATGTGTTCTCTTCCTGACATTTTGTTAAAGGTCAGTCACCCTAAAATGTCAGTGGCTAATATCGATTTTTAAAGGATTTAGATTTAGATGACAAGTGTTATTATGTTTGTTATTCTACAAGACATTCCCATAATTCACTGCTCTGATGATTTGCAATCAAACAAGCCTTGATGTGTCTTGGTTTAAACTGGGTATATTTGGCTGAAAGGTGAAGGGTTTCAGTTGTCTGGTAGTCATTACTGTTACAGCATTGTGTGACTGTTTCAATATGTATTAAGAAAGGGGTTCACACTAAATATTGAAAATGTAATATAGTTGACAATGCTAACCAGATGTCTAAAAAACTGTAGCAATGTGAACTAAGATAACGGTTAAATAACGGTCAACAGTTTCCATGTAAAAACTACAAATCTGAAATATCTGTGCTTTCCCTGATCTCTGAAGCTAATATTAAAGTGTTCATTTTAGTGATGCGACAACATATTGTTCCCAAAGTTGTCTTTTTGCTCTAAAGACAGGAGGAAAAGCAGAGGTGCGAAATGAGAGATGGCTGATTTACATTACGCTGGCCCACTTATTGAGGACACTACTTGTTATATATCATATTATAATATTATAAAGACTAAATATATTTGTATACAATTGGATATGTTTTATGGCTGAGGTATGTAGTCTTTTTATATTACTATATTATTACATTTGATTTATTATTCACTGCCTTATATTCCTAATAGAATTATAGCAGAAGTACAGTAGTGGTAATGTCTGTGACTGATGGCAGGTGCTGGGGGTCCCGACATTACACATTTGGGCCCCAGACCCTCAGGGGACTGAAAGCCAGAGGTTCACTAATGTGATTAGCTGCCATTGTTTTTGGCAGAATATTAATTGAAAAGAAAATGTCTTATGGTTGGTTCTGCATTGTTTTCCAAATCCTGAGGTTGTTCGTTAAAAAAGAGATCTAGTTTGAATAGAGAGTGTCTTACTTCCACGCTCTGACTGCAGTTATAACTAAAGATCCAGCCTTAGAAAAGAACTATTCTCTACAGTATGGCAAGTTGATTGTTTATGTCTAGATACAAATGGTAGTTTGAAACATTTGAATAATAATACATTTCAAGACGCTCGACAGAAGCTGTTGGTTTTTTTTGTGCTTATAAAGAAATCATTGTTTCTGCCTCTACTCCGACTCGAAGGTTTCCCACTTCCCTAAGGAGCATTTACGGCTGCTAAATCCTAAGAACTGTTACAGGATGTGGATTTTGTAAATTGTGTAACTTTTTTTTTTATTATATATTTTTTTATTATATCATAACTTTTTTACTTTAATTATTTTGAATGCATGTAACATATGTAACATAAGTAACATTAAGTTGTGGCTCTTTTTCCGCTGTAACAACGTACATTTCCCCTCTGTGGGACTAATAAAGGAATTCTGATTCTGATTCTGATTTAGGAATCTTGAAGGTTTCTTTCTTGTGGTTTAAGAACTTTAACCAGATGGGTTTATTAGTAATTGGTGGAGGCCAAACCTGAGCTGAACTGAGAGTTATCGGATTCAAATTCACTAGTGACATTACATTTAGTTGAAAATGTTGTCCCAAGCCACTGACGATGGGGGCCCCCAGCTCATAGGGGATTCATCCAGCAGACTGTAAACAGTACTGTTCATACTTTTTATATACAAATAAAGGGAAATAACTCTTTCTGACTGAAATCAAGAGGGAGCATCATCATCATTACTTTAACAAAGCACACTTCAAATAGGCTTTTGCAAGATTTGCATAAAGTTTAATTGCTAATTTGCAAAGAAAAATAAATTCAGTTTTGGCAGAATCAAACAGAGCTCTCACTCCGGAGGACAGTCACCCTGTCAGCGTTGTCTTTGGTTGCTTTGCTGTGTCTGAGCTTCATATCAATCACCCTCAACCAGAACACAATGCATGCGGCACCCACTCACATTATATCAATGACAATAACAAGGCTCACATAAAGGCTGGCCTCGTACACAACCCATAATGCGCATCAGTTATGTCAACGCCTGCCAGCATGATATATATACACACACACACACACACACACACACACACACACACACACACACACACACACACACACACACACACACACATGCCTGAGGGAAGGGCTACTGAACAGACGGTGTGGGGTCCGAGGTCTGAGGGCACCACAAAACAGAGAGGCTTTGTCTTAAAGGTCCCATGTCATGGCCATTTCTACCGATCATAATTCCATTGTTGAGGTATACTAAAATAGATTTATACTGTGCAATTTTCCAAACTCACATTGGTTTCTCATACAGCATCTCTGTAAAGTATGTGTATTCACCAGGTATTCACTCTCTGTCCTAAACGGCTTGTTGGAGCTCCTGCCCCCCCCCTCCCTGTGAGCCCAGTGTGCTCTGATTGGTCGCGACGTTGAGGCTTGTTGCTGCGAGCTGCTGCGAGGAGCGGACAGGCTTCCGTGTCGGCGATACAGCGAGAACAAGCGAAACTCATCCTGAGCACACACAAACACTCACAGCCGAAGTAAAAACAATAAGTGTGGCTTGATATTGAGTAAGAAAAAGGTTTATAACGCTGTGAGAATGGGTCTGCGGAGAGCATTTCTCCGCCATCCCAACTTAGCAGCCCGAAACACGTTTACCCATTTAAACAGTCGTGGTAGATACCTTGTTTGTTTTAAACATCATAAATACACAAACAACAATGAATACTTACAGGTTGTGTAACTGAATCTCCCGCTGGTCCAAACAAAGTAGGAACAGCATCGTTCTTCAGTGCCCTACGCTGTACATATCCGGCATGAAGGGTTTGGGAAGCTTTGTTTCGTGAAAGGCTGGCAGAGGGTGCGACCATAGCTCTGGGTGTGGCCTCTGGGTATCCCCACGTCAGAGTACCCAGGAAGAAAACAATGGAAAATGAGAAATCTCCAACGAGGCGTTTTGGGGAGGTCTTTTCTGTGTTAGAGTTTTACTCGCTACAGGGTGTACTTTGAGGGTTTTTGACTCTGCAGACCGTTTACATGCATAACAACCTTCATAACACAAGGGGACGGGTAATATCCGGAAAAGCATGACATGGGACCTTTAAGATAAGCCTCAGCATTATTAACATTCTTCTGATCATATGAATCACAAATATAGTCCACAGTAAGGTTGTACAGGAATATGCAGGAGTTATTAGTGCCTGTGGGTGTGTTGCACATTTCACATTTGGACAGTGTTCAGTTGGGCTTGCCAACTGGAAAGCCTCACTCTCATATTGCCGATGCCACCCACAGATCT